AAGAGGAAGAAGATGAGTCGCACCGAGGAAGCCAGCGGACGGCGGGGAGCAGGACCAAGTTTTCTTTTATCAGAGAGCGCCGCGGTGCCGGAGTTTCGGAGCCAAAGAAAAAGTCTGCATCTGAAGATGAAAAGTCGAGGTATTTGGGGTCGAACTCCAATGGCAATTCATCCAAAAGTTCCATACAGTTCATTTCGCATGTCAGATCTATAAGCGGTGGCTCAGGTTTCAAGTCTGATGCTCCAGCTGTGAGACATGGAAGTCAGGAATTGGTAAGACTGTCAACTAATGGAGTTTCTTCTATTTCAAAATACAAGGACGATGAAAAGGTTAGGATACCAAATATCATAGCAAAACTAATGGGCTTAGAAGAGCTTCCAGCACCAAAAGAAGCAAAGAGCAACGAAATGCGGAAAGCTCCACAGTTGAAAGAGATGAGCAGCAAGTTGGTGGAAATTGATAAAGATTTCAACATGAAGGAGGTTACTGTGATAGCTAACTCTACGAAAAAAATGCTAAATCCTGATGCACAAGAAAGAGGAATGAATGATATAGTAAGGAACAACTCAAGAAATTCAAAAATCTCGCAAAATTCAAGTCCAGCATCACAAGATTCACTGAAGAAATGCATCGGAAATAGCGCGCAGATGGATGTGAACAACATAGATCACAGAAGTGAATTTACAATTACAAAGCAACAAATGAAAGGAAGAAATGAGCATATTACTCCGGCAGTTGGGAATTCTTTTACAGATCACAGGAATGATAAAGGGGTTAGAAAAAAGGATGAAACAGTAAGCAGAGAGGAAAAAACAGCTAGAAAGCAACCAAGGACTGATAAAATTTCGCAGATTGGTTCTTCAGTTAAGATTGAAAACTCAGATCACGAACAGAAATGCAATATGGCGATTTCAGATGCAAAATATGACAATGTTGGGAAGATGGAAATGATTCAGGTAGAGGACGGGTCGGTTTTAAAGCAACAAAGAAAAGCCCAAACGATATCTGTTGTTTCTAATCAATCTCACAATGAAAGATACAGCGAGCAGATGCAACATCTTCAAGTCCTGCAAACTGGAGAAAGAATTAAAGAAACTAATGCTGAAAAGAAGTCTGGTACAAAAGGTGAGTTGCAGCCCTCCACAGCAAATAAAAAACTCATCAAGAAGTCAAAGGACATTGAGAAACATCCTAATGAGATGAGGGCAAAGAAACAGTCCGGTAAAGGTGTCGATTCAAATAAAAATGATTTAATGAGTAAAACTGGCAGGCAATCGAGAAAAGAAAATCTAAAGATCATTTCTGATGGAGCAAATATAAGGAACAAAAACACTCAGAACCATTATAGAGGAAATAATTTGAATGAACAAAGCCTGTATAAAAGATTGCCATTGAACAGCGATACAGGACTGGAAAAGAGGGCCAGAACCTCAATGAAAGCAATAGTCATGAAGAAACCTACACAGATTCAATCAGTACAAAAAGTAAATATCCTAAAGGTAACAGAACAAGACATCTATAGGAGAAGCTTGGTAGAAGTAACCTTACAAAAGAAATCTCTGGACGTAAGTCAGGCCATGGAACAGAGAAGTTCCATTTTAGAAGAACTAGAGTACAGATGGAAGGAAAGAAATAAGAAAGTGGAAGGAGTGGATAGAGATTCTGACACAAGCCTGGAACTCAACATGCGGCAAAATATTGAAATTAGTTTAGTAAATCTTCCAGAAGACGATGGCAACAAGGAAATCACCATTTGGAATCCTATTTCAGGAGATGATACAAAAGCTTGCACTTGCAGCAGCCCTCTCACCAGAGATACAACCATCGAAGCCAAAATGGATCAGTCAATACAAGAAGAAATAAATGTAAGTAGATTTCACATTAACCAATTTTGCGAGCACTTCAACAGTTCAAGCACCTATAATGTAGAAAATGTTTGGTTGATAACCAAATTTAAACTTCAGCGTTAGTGGACGGAAGGTAAATACACACAATGAAAAAATATCAATCTAAATAAATTAAAAAAAGAACCTTTCATTAGCACTTAACAAATGCTGATGAAGGTGGAATGTTGCAGGTGAAAGCTGAAAAGGAAAATAGTGGTTATCAGGTTCCAGAAAGGTCTGGCATCACCATGACAGATTTTGTAGACAAGTGTTCCCAAGAAGACCCCACACAGAAATTTCAAGAAATACGATCCAGCTATACAGAAAACGGAGAAGAAGGTATCAAATCCCTCTCTCTCTCTCTTCCTCCCTCTCTCACACACACACACACGCATGCGCGCACGTGCGCTCACACAAATGTATTTTTTACAGAAAACACCAAAAATATAGTTAATTTCACATCCAAAGAACTGACAAGAATAGCACCAAGATGAATAACTTGAATGTTGTGAATTTCAATATTTACAGATTATAGCAGATCAATGCAACTCAACAGCAGTAAATCTATAATACATGAGGATCCAACAATGGTGGATGCAGATCAGCAAGCGGTACTTACAAAAGATGAAGGCGCCCTCAAGAAAATGCTCATAACCAGCCAAAACTTCCTGAGTGCAGCACAATCACTTTTCCAAGTTAACATTCCTGTTGAACTACTTCAAGCAACTACAGCTGAAAGTTCAGATAAAGACGCCAGATTTATCATTGATTGCGGATATGAATTGCTAGGAAGAAAAGGCAAAAGAGAAGAGCTAAGTTGCTTTTCCAGGAAAGGGTCTCTCGCACCTTTGAAGAGAAAAAATTTAGACATATTAATCAAAGAGGTGAATGCTGATCTCGAAAGCTTGAAGTACCAAATTAATGGTGAGGGGTGTGATGATGATCTTGCAATCTGCCTCAACAAGATGATAGAGAAAGACATCCAGAACTGGCATCCAGACATTAACTGTTTATGGGATTTTGGTTGGGGCAGCAACACATTTGTCTGCTTGGAAAAAAATGAAATAGTAATGGATGTGGAAAAATCTGTGTTAAATGGGCTACTAAACGAATTAAGTAGGGATTTACTAAATGTAAGCATCAGCATAGTCTGAAAATAGTTTATTAAAATATAATGTTAAAAGAACATTGATTTTTGGAGAATCTTAGTTAAGAGTTTTGTACGACGTCTCTTCAATGGGATGTTTATAAAGAATACATGTGAGGTATGGGTATGCTAAGCTAGGGTTAGTGAGAAGTAAAGAGGCTGAGAGTTATGAATGAAGGAGAAGCCTAGAATTTCAAACAAGGGTGGAAGCTGGCAGTTTCAACTTGGAGAAGCCTTGAATTTGAATTTGGGAGAGAGCCTTGAAATCTTCATTGTGTGGCCCGTCCAAGAATTTAGTTTGCATGATTTGGCCGGTTAAGGTAACTTGCATGATTTGGCCGGTTAAGGTAGCTTGCATGGCCTGAATTAAAGGAGCTTGCAAGGCCATTTTTGTACGAATTGAATCTTCTTAGCACAACCTAGTTCCAAATAACAACTCTTTGCAACTAAGTTCTCTGGAAATATAATTGCAACAGTGAAAATAAAATAAAATACAATAATTATTTAACAACATTAAGATGGACATTAAAACTAAAATCTTGATGTATTGCATTACTTTTACTGCAGTAAAGTTGGGAAATATGAATTATACCAATAAAAATGAAGCAATATGGCTCCATCGACATTGTCACTTGCATATAAATCAAAATATTACGTGAGAAAGCGCGCCTAGCAGTTAATACATTTTATGCAATAAATAACTGCTTAACAAGGCAGGCTACACTTTATTTAGCCAGGAAACCTTATCTATCAAAATACAAGTTCTATTGTTTCCATGGCATCAAGATACAGGGATACCATTTCAGTAGCACTTCCGATTATTTTCCTTCAGGAGAAAATTCAAATTGATATAATTTTATTTGAACCCCAAAAGGCTCAAGTTATCATAGATATTCAAATCAACATCCAAGGGAAAAAAGTGATGTCTCAATAAACACGTGCTTTTGGTGGGAATGGTTCAATTTCATCATCCAGAGTATTCATATGGACAGGTCTATATGCCAGTCGAACTTTTTCATTCTCCCAGTATCTGTAGAACAGGAAAAAAAAACATCTTGACTGAGAAGCAAAAACTGGTAACACTTCTAAAAGAGAGAAATAGACAGATATATAGACAAAAAGTGAAGGTAACACTTCTTGAAATATTAAGTGCAACTTAATGATAATTGTTCGTGCGAACAATTAAATCTGAACAATTTCATGTCTTGTACATGCTTCGTGAGGCAATCTTTAGCTCAAATTCCAAGCCTCAAAATTCACACGAGAGCTTTAAAAATTATGTAAAAATAAATGGTTGCATAGGCTCCAACAAATGGGTTAAGACACTTAAACTTAAAGTCAGATAATGCTACATAGAATAAAAGGGAGATACATTTAAATTTGTAATGCCTTGAAAGATGTGCAGTTTCTCTAAAAAACATGAAATTATTTAAAAAACTTTCAACTCCTCAAAAACCAAAACTCAAACTCTACACATGTACGTTTTACAAGCCATTTTAAAATCTAATCCATTTTCATAAGGATTAGAAATGACAAGACTGCCACTCGATTATAATTATTTATGCAACGAATCTGAAGCAGTCATGATTAAAACGATAGTTTTTAAATTAGTACTCTTGGTGCAATCACATAGAGTTCCAACCAAATGCTCAATCGTGAAACTAATAAAATTTACTACCTCTTCTGAAGGCTATTCGCTTCAAAAATACAAATCTTCAATACAATACCTAAAACATGCATTTACGACTTCCAAACCATGGATCTGATTCTCTACTAGCAAGCAAGCAAAGTCAATAAAGTCCAAAAGAATAAAATGATACCGTTAAAATATCCTAATGATGGCTATGTTCCTAACGAATTTCAACTAAAAGAGATCTTAATCAAAATACTTATGAACTGTAAAGCAAGTTCCATGAAGCTCAAACAAGAAAATTCAAAAGATTGTAAATTCAAAAATAATCAAGTGTGATTTGCCGTTCCTAAGCTTATAACAATAATTCATCTACTCTTTGTAATAACTTGTCAATTGTGACAAATTTAAGAAAGCCTGAACTCACAAATAGTCAATGTCACATAAGACATAGCTCTATGATCAATTATAAAGATTACACACCACTATCAATGTAGTGCATGTCCTCTGATTATGTGATTTTGTCGTCTAATGACACCACAAAAAAATACAGTTATGAGTCTATGACTGAATAGTTCCTTATAAAATGACATTATTAAATTTCTGTCATGGTTAAAACTCACAAGTTCAACAAAAGCCTAGTGTTCCTGAGTAGTAAATTACAGAGTGCACCTAATAAAGCATGAAACTACTATCATCTGAGGTCAAATTAAAATTGTCCCGTCAAGCAAATATCCATCCAAGATATACAAGATCATCTCAAATGATGCGATCAAGTTAAATTGACTACCTTTGTTGTCTAACTAAATTCCAGGACAACTTGGGACAATAGAATTGCGAGATTTTGATTGGTGTCATTCTCACCACAAACTACTCCAAGCTTAAGACAATAAATTTTCTTAATACCTAAAACCAAACTGTTAAATAGGTGCTTAGTATCTCTCATATAGAATTAATCAAGAGTCTCTCACGTTATTACGGGGAATAATTGACCATATAAAGTGGTATCCATGAGAAACTTAAAGTTGAATCTAACTTCTCACGAAATAAAAATAAATTCTTAGGATATATTATCTAAAACAAAATATCTTCTAACAATTTAACCCAAAACTCAAATGCTCTTCGAAGAGTTGAATGCAAATTTTTAAGCTCATTGTATCCATCTCACTAGGGTCACTTAATGAATAATAATAATAATAAAATCAAGAAAAAATTTAAAACATTTCAACATTATGGTTGACACTTGCTTTTAGTACAATATCTAAAGTCTTGAAAATTGACAATGCCACAGAAAATTTCAAATCAATCTAAAGAAGATTATCTCCTACATCAAGAAATTATCAACCAAATCTTATGTGACAATACTGCTAAGAAAATAAGGTTTCTAAAAAGAAAACTAGACAATAATTAAAGGTGGCTGTTATCTACAAATATTTCCAATCATCTATCCGAAGAAGTACCCAATAGCTACATATCTCATTTATAAAATACCCAAAGAGTACTTCAATTTAAAACCTTTAATCACATAATTTTAAATTTGTTTCCCAAGGACTAAATAATTTATTTGCTCCCTTGAAAATATTATGGCATTCAAACTTCATTCATAATCATTCTCAACAGTAGAGCAAATTAAACCCTAAATATAATAAGGATATCTTTATCAGATACTCTTTCATCCAAAAAATGTACAATAGTTATTCTCTAGAACTTAGAAAAATTATAACTCCACAAAGGTAAACTATCTTAAATGCTAACCCTACTACTCCAAACCCAAAAATGAAGAAAACTTAAGAACAAGAATTTTCAAAGTGAAACTTATTCTATTGTCAAAACCATGAACAATTAGCATTCCTCCCCCTCATTCAGCTAAGTAAGTCTCATTAAAGCCAAAAAATCCACCAAATCAGCACATCTAACATACCTTCACTAGAACCGTAAACTACTGTATCACCTTGTCAATGCGCACAACCTATACATTATGAGAATCATGTCTAAATTAGGAGGGAGGAACAATTAACATATCACGAGCACATCAAAGAACCCGAGTCCAATACAAGGACTAAACAAATTAAAATAAATCTATACATGATGAAATTGATTTCCATTATCCTACTGCCTTAAGAAAAGGCTGAGGGTATGAGCTAAACACCCGATTTATGATTTCATAATTTACAAAAACTTTTATTTAGATTTTATGTTTTTTATCACTTCTAATAAAAACTAGATTGTAAACAATGCTCAAGAAGTCTCAAATCTACCTAGGGAAAAGTTGTAATGAAAGAATTCCATGCTTAGAAAAGAATGGCAAGATAAAATTTTTTGAATTTCCACTAAAAAAAATTAATTAGATGCAAATGAATCTTTAGCATCCAATGTAAGCCCTACTTGTCATAAAAAGTTACACCCAATCATATGGTATTGAGTATTAAGAATATTTCTCTCCTAATGCTAACAAGTTTTCCATTCTCTAGCAATAAGTTTGAACTTACCTACACATTAACTTAACATTAAGAATTCATTTTAAATGAGGAATTTGAGGAAAAAGTATATAAGGAAATATCACCTTAAATTAAAAAAATCATAAAAACACCTTTGCATACTTCAAATAAACTCTATATAGCCCTAAAAAATACTTCTTATTTTGGTTTGATGAAATCTTTAGCGCTATAAAAAAACCACGCTAATCACACTCTCTTTAGTAAAACTTCAAGGAAGAGCTAATCATATTTAAATAATTTCTAGCAAAAGAATTTAAGATAAAAATACTTAAAAAATCAAATGTGCTTTCTTGGTATGTAAGTGTCACCATCAAAATATGGTATTTTTATTTCTCCAATGAAGTATATTCTTGATCTACTTTAAGATAGAACAATGATACAAGCCTGCAAAAACTCCAATGGAGCCAACAATAAAATTGGAATCGCCACTCAAACAATTCACATTGAAAGTAGATATCAATGCATTATGGGCAAATTAATCCACCTCTCTCTTACCCAGCTTGATATTATATTCCATGTTAGTGTTGTAAGCCTATACATCAATAACTCCACTCAGATCACATGAAAGTGTTAACAACATTCTAAGATACCTCAAAATGACTCCAAGAAAATGTATGGCATATATAAATTCATTCAACAAGGAAATCAAAATTTCCACAAAAATTGACTAAGCTAAAGATGCTTCAAATTAAAGATCCGACTTTGACTACCATACTTAAACATAGGAAAACTTGGTTGCATGAAAATGTAGAAAAAAAATTGTGGTGATAAGAAACAACACTGAAAAATGAGAACACAACAAAGGCACTTGGCATTTATAAACAAATGTGGTTAAAAAGATTTTAGATTAAAATATCCAAGTTGAAAACTCTCTCAAATCGTACTGTGACAAATAAGCTACCATAAATATTGCAAAGAATCAAATCCATCGTGACAGGGCTAGACAAATTGAGATAGAATGATGTTTCATCTCCCAAATACATAAAAATGTAATAGGCCAACTAAATTATGTTCTCACACGTTGTCGAACTAAAATATTCTCCCCAAAGTTTTTGCCCATAATGAGTTTTGATAACCTAATCAATAAGCTAAGCATGATCAATACATACAAGCCAGCTTGAAAGGAAGCATTGAAAAAATCCTTAATCCATACTCGATAATTTTCGGTCTATAACAAACTAGCAAT